GAAGGGAAAAGGAAGGGAAGGGAAGGAAAGGGAAAAGGAAAGGAAGGAAAGGAAAGGGAAGGGAAAAGGAAAGGAAAGGAAAGGAAGGAAAGGAAAGGGAAGGAAGGAAAGAAAGAAAGTAAGTCATAGAAAAAGAAATCAGACTGGTTGTTACCAGAGGCAGAGGGTGGAGGGAGGGGAAAATCTGAAGAAGGTAGACACAAGGTACAAACTTTCAGTTATAAGATAATTAGGTACTAAGGATGTGATGAATACTGCTGTATGATATAAAGGAAAAGTTATTGAGAGTAAATCCTAGAGGTTCTCACAAGGAGAATATTTTTTCTTTTTTCTTTCTTTTCTTTTTATTGTATCTATGGGAAGATGAATGTTAGCTGAAATTACCATTGCAATCATTTCACAGCGTATGTAAATTAAAGTATCATGCTTTAAACTTATATAGCCATATATGTCAATTACTTCTCAATAAAACTGGAAAAAATAATAGTAGTAATTTGCATTTTTTTAAAAAATGATTCCTGGGCATGGAGATTCTTAGTATTTCCTAGTCGATATTTAACACTTGCTATAGGGAAATTTACTCTTCTGACTTAATAGTTTGGATTTACTCCTTCTTTGCTACAGGTTAAAAATCTACATCGTTACTCCTCAATTAGATAATCTATAAGTAAACTGTAAACCAAATGAACCTGATGTAATCAAAAGCAACTTGGTAAGAATACTCGTAATGAGTGTTTAAAATTGGTAAAGAAAAATGCTAATTAAGAGTATACTGGATTGAAAACAAGAGGCTGTGGAGGGCACAAGAAACAGTGTCAGAAAAAAAAGAGATTATAAATATCTATGCTGGTACTGGCACACTGATTTTACATCATTGCTATCTAAACTCAACAACAAATAAAATATATTCCACACTTCCAAGTTTTCTTTCACCGCATGCCATTCCTTCCTACTACCATCAAATATCCATTCCACCCCAATTTTTTCCTTCTACCAATTGACTTTTCCTGTTTAATATACTACGTATTTTCCCATCCAGCCCCCTGCTATATTCCCTGAAAGCACATTTTCCACATTTTCTTTATACACACCATACAATTTACCTACACTACCCTTCCCCTAGTCCACCTAGTCAACTCCTAGCCATTCTTTCAGACTCAGTTCCAATGTCACCTCTTTATAAAGCACTCCTCAAGCTGATGCCTCTATACCAACTCAACTTGGTCACTCCCCTGTCAAGGATCCTATTTTCAAACAACATTGTTATTACTACTATTATTTGCTTATATGTCTTTCTCTGAAAAACTCCTAGAATAGCATTATCATGGTTTTAAAAATGCCACACATGCCTAATTCAAATTTGTATCACCACATCATGGCACATGAAAGGCATTCAATATTTATCTTGACAATGCACAGATTCAGAATAGCCACTAATTCCAGGCTGAGGAAAAAGAAAGTGAAAGACAGAACTGAGTAAAATGGCAAACTGTAAAAAAACACTTCCTGTAACTATGATTTTGTGAGACTAACTATACAGGCCAAACTCTGTCCTACATCATAGACCGCTACTTCTTGATATTCTTTCCTATTTTCACAGGGTGACTATTCTGTCATAAGTTCTATTAATAACTCAGGATTGCCTTCTTCAGTTTAAATATGACCTCATTTTTCTAAGCTATACAAAATCATAACATTTCTTCATTTCCTTTCTTATTTATCAAGGATGATGACCTATTCCCTTGCATGCATACTCACAAATACCTCAAGTATCTATTTGTGAACAGATTGATTTATGAGTCTGTCCTTCAATATCTAGCAGTAGTGGGTTGTTTTGTTTGTTTGTTTGTTTGTTTGTGGGGGGTATTTAGGTTTACTTATTATTTTTTAATTAATTTCTTTTTTTTAGTGGAGGTACTGGGGATTGAACCCAGGACCTTGTGCATGCTAAGCACGTGCTCTACCGAGCTATACCCTCCCCCTATTTGCAGTGTTTTTATTGTTAAGAGTAGGAATGTGTATTTCTAGGTTAAGAAATTAATTAGTACTCTGGAACAAAACACTAATGTCTAGAATAGTTCCTAACATATAGGCGATATTCAGTAAATATGAAAGAACAAAAGAGGAAAGAGAAAATCAAGAGGGAAAGAAGTCTAGTATATCCTGTAGAGTTTGATAAATTTGTCACTCCAGACTATTAACTTTTAATGGGCAAAAAACTGTGCCATTTTCTTCAGCATACCCCTAGTGCCTACCATAGCATCTAGAACATAACAAGCTCTCAGTATCTATTTGATAAGTGAGTAAGTCAAGGGTCAACAAAATACTTCTTGTAAAGGCACAAAGTAATATTTTGGTAACTATTTTATGCTTTGATAAATAGTAGCTATGCTTTACAATTCATATAGTCTCTATAGTGAGTACTCAAAACAACTCTGCCATGGTAGCACAAAAGCAGCTATAGATAATAAGAATGGCATGGCTGTGTTCCAATAAAACTTTATTCATAAAAACATGAGGTATTTAACCACAGTTTGAAAAAACAAAACACAAAAAACAAAAACAAGGAGGTATATCATATTTGTCAAGCCCTGGGATGAATGAATGAAGTCAGACTCATAAATTTAAGGATTTGCTGAACAAATGGAAGAAAGGAAGAAAAGAGAGAGGGAGAGAAGAAGAAAGGAAAAAGGGAAGGAAGAAATGATTAATGTTATCTCTGTCTTAGGAACAGAAAAAGAAAAATAAAAAGAGCTGTACTTGGTAAAGAGAAGTTACAAAACATGCATTTTCCTCCAAATAACTAAAACAAGAAAGTATACTTTTTCAAGTCGAAAGATGTGATCTCTTTCTAAGCGTTCTTCTGCTTGTTTCAAACCTAGCCTCTGCTCAGGTGTCAATGTAGATTCATCTATCACAGTGGCATTTTCTAAATAGTCCATCTCTGAAGAATTTTCTTTATTAGATTCATCATTCTTCATTTTACCTGGAAAAGGAAGCAATTACTTAGTTACCATCAGAACTGGTAAATTAAATTTTTTTAAATGGAAAATAGGCATTCAATTTATACATATACAGAAAAAATACTCTTCCCTCATATCTTCCTTGGCTGTATAACTTGGTATACCTAAGTAAAATATAAGTAAAAGTTATTCATGGTATCAAAATTCACAAAAAAAACTACTTTATGAGTCAAATGCCTATCTTCTTCTTTCAATTTATCTGTATCATAATAGACAAATATGACTGAGACTCACTATACAAGGCTAACATAACATAACCATCTTGCAGACTCTCTGAAGTAAAATGATATAAAGCTATTTTAAGTCCCAAAGATGACTCACTGAACTAAAGTCCCTTGGTGACTTTATCACTATAGAGTAGAAGCCAACAGAACATATATACTCCAGACCATAAACCACACCAGGCTCCTTTTCTTCTTTGCTTTCACTGAACTCTTGGATAGCTCTACCACATCAGTATTTTTACTTTGCGTCTCTGTCTCCTAACTAGACTATAATCTTTTTAAGGCACAGACTATGTGCTTTCAATCTTTGCATTTCCAGCACCTAGCAATATGTACCTGGTTCCACCACCAGTGTGATTTTTTAAAATACAAACTGAATCATGTTATTCTCTTGCTTTTAATACTTAACAGGCTTTCAAAGAGTGCAGAATAAAGTTTAAACTCTGTAGCACATAAAATGCAGTTCGTGCCCTCCTGGAGGCAGTCAACAGTCTAAATACAGTAATTCCAAGTTTTTGTAAGTTGTATAAAGGGAAAAAGCAGGTAATTGAGAGGGAGACAAACTTTAGATATGGCGGTCAGGGAAGGCTTCTCTCAGATTTTTAAGCCAAGGCCTCAAGAGAGCTAAGTTATCTATATATCTAATTTTACATCCTGACCTAACACTTTTTACTTCATTCATGTGCTAGAATGGATCACTGCTACTTCAAGTCTCAATACCTTTACATGTACTGTTCCTTCTACCATCAAGGGCCCTCCCACTTCAAATAGTAATGTTTACTTGTCCTGCAAAGTTCAGCTTAATATCACATATTTCGGAAGACAGTCTGATATTCTTTATATTCTCATAGCACCCTCTATATTCTCACACTTTCACAGTAATGTAATTTGCATTTATTTACCTCCTACATTAGATAATAAATTCCTTGATACTACTGATCAGGTCTTATCCAACTTTGTACCTTCAGATTTTAATACAATGCCTAGACCAGAGATGACACTTACTAAGTGTGTTAAATAAGTAAACTGATTTGGATGTATCTAAAAGCGCTTCTAAAAGTAAATGCTCAAAATCAACCAATCTCTCCCCTCTGCCCTCAAAAGCCACTCTACATGCCATCTACAAGAACCCTGACAGTAGGTTCTATTTTTTGATAGCACTCATTTTCTGAACAAAAAAGAAATAGTGTGCCTCTGGAGGTGATGTGTCTCCTACCACAAGAAGAATACCACTCAGCAATTAAAAAAGTAATGGTATACTGATACTAGCTACAACATGGATAAATCTTAAAAACACAATTAGTGAAAAAACCCAGACACAAAAGGCCACATGTTGTGTGATATATGTGATTTCATTCACATAAAATAGGCAGATCTAGAGACAGAAAGTAAATTAGTGGTTGAAAGTGCCTAGGAGGAGAGGGTAATGAATACTGACTGCTAACGGGTATGGAGTTTCCTTTGCGGGTGATGAAAATATTCAAGATTTAGACAGTGGTAATGTCTACACAACTTTGCAAATATATTTTAAAACACACTGTATATTTTAAAATGACAAGTTTTATGGCATGTGAATCTCAATAAAACTGATATAAAAAGATAAATAAGAAAAATTTTTAGATGAGAATAAAACTACAGAGAAAAATTAAACAGGTAAAAGGAATAAGGATTGCCAGAGGTGGAGGTGAGGGCTGTAAATTTTAGGTAAGTGACACAGCAAAAGGATCACTGAGAAGGTGAAAGAGGTAAGAGAACTAGCAATATGGACGTCTAGAATAGTGTTCCAGGCAAGAGGAAAAAGCAAATGCAAAAGATACCAGGTAGACATTTGCCTTCACGTTTGAGGAACTGCAAGGAAACCATGCAGTTGGAAAAGAGAGAGAAAGGGTGAGAAGTAGGTAATGAGGGCAGAGAAGAGGAGAATGCCGAAGATACTTCAAGGACACTAGCTTTTACTGATGTAAGGGAAACCATCGAAACATTTTGAACAGCAGTAACATGATGCAAATAACTTGAACAGGATCATTCTGGCTGCTAAGTTGAAAGTACAATGAAGGGTGGTATAAGCGAAAATAAGAAAATGACTTAGGTTATGCTGCTCAAAAGCATGATATTGACCAGCAGCATTCGCCTCATTCAGGAGCTTGTTGGAAATCCAGTATCTCAGACTCTAGATTTTCTATATCAAAAAATCTCTGAGAATGGAGCCCAAGAATGTGAATTTTAATACAATTTCCAGGTGATTCATATGCATATTAAAGTTTGAGGAGCCCAGATCTAGAATACCTTCCCTCATATATTCACCAGGCTCACTCTCTCACCTCTTACCTTCAAGCAATTTGCTCTAATGTCACCTTCTCAGTGACAATTTAAATTTGATACACCACCACTAGAAACAGCAGCATTATTTCCTATGACCTTTCCTGTTTTATTTTCCTCATAAGATTTATCACCATCTAATTTATTATATACTTTTGTTAATTATTACATTTGTTGTCTGTCTCCTCCCACTAGAATATTAACTCCATAAGAGCAGTGTTGTCTGTTTTGTTCACTGCTATATTCCTAGAGACTAAATCAGTATCTGGCACATAGCAGAGACCCTCCAAAAATATTTACTGAATGAATGAATGGCAAAAGGAAAATGGTGAAATGCTAGGTGGGCACTAAATTTGGGCCTAATGGAGATTAATCTACCAATCTCAGGTGGACTTGAGATTAATCAAAATTCTATAAAGCCTATTAAGCCAAAATAGACAATGATCTAGATACAGGTTTTATTCTATTTAATTTACAAAGGGGAATCTAATGGGAAATCATTCATTCAAATATTAAGTTGGGTTTTTTCATATGAGAAAAAAATGCTGAATTATTATGTATGAACATGACTTCAAGGCAGATATTCTACATATTGAAGAAAATTCTTTACAACATGAGAAGTATTTGTGAAAAATGATTGCTACACTATAAACTCATTCTTTCTAATTTGTTAAAACAAGTCTCCCAAAAGGACAACTACTCAGTCTACTAGCTTCCTTAAGCTAATTCAACTTGTTCTCCATCTTAATAACAAAACTGTAATTGGAGAAAATAATAAAAAGATTGCCATTGTACGCCTAATGTGTCAGGCACTACATGAAACACTCTATTGGATTATTTCACTTAACCTTTATAACAAAGGCAGCAGCATCTCTACTTTTAAAAACTTGAGGAAATTGAGACTGTTTTAAATGATAAGCAGCTTACCCAAGTTTATAAAGTTATTAAATGGGGAAGATAAGGTTAAAAACCTATGAAATTTTACTCCAGAGCTCACAATCTTAACCATCTCGCTGTCACCTTATTTTGTCACCTTTTAAAAAAATAATCTTTAAATCAGATTTTTCACTAATTCAAGTGATGAGACCCTTACAAGAGATCTTATGCAATAGTATTTCCCAACTTCGATCAATCACATACTATCATGTTTAGATGTGCCATATCTAAACACTACTAGTACTATTATTTATTTGATATTGTCTTTAAACTGACTTACTTTTTTTGGCATTGTCCTAAGCCATATCTATATAAAATGATTAAGTTGATATCTTTTCTTATAAAAATATCTCTATTAAATGGAAAAAAAGTTCTGTCAATCTAACATCAAAGACATGAACAATATTTATAAATAATTAAAGCCCAGATCAAGATCCCATAAGAAAATGAATTTTACACAAATAGTTCTCCAGTAAATTTCAATAGTGTCCTAATGAATCTCTGCTTCCAGTCTTGCTCCTGTCAAAGAATTTACTATAATAAAAAAAGATAAACATATATACACACACACATACACAAACATATATATGATTATAGCACTACCTTGCTTAAACTCTTCAGCAGCTTCTCAAAACACTAATAAAGTCCAAACTGTCTATAATGTTCTAAAAGGCCCATTATTCTCCAATTCTGCTGTGCCTTTTCAGCTGCATCTTTTGCCACATTTCCCCTCAAGCCCCTGTTCTGGTCATACTGAATCTTATTTGCAGTCATACTTGCAGTCTCATATTTATATCATGCATTTTCCCAATCCAAAGTCTAATCCATCAATTAAATCATATACTTTCCTCAATTCTAAGTTTTTGGGTCTGAACTAAATTACCACTTTACTTGTCTGTATCACCCCCACCTAACTAGAAGCTTCCCTGAGGTCTGGGGCTGTGGATTTTTGCTTTTCTATTGTAAACACATGCAAGACATATAATAGGAACTTAATACATACATGTTTTGTGAATGAATGAGCAATATATTACTAGGACCATTTAAAAGAAGTGTGTGTCTATGTGTGTATACTGACTACAGGAGTCACTAAATTTGTATTTGTACAGGTTTTGTACCTACTATACTAAATGTTTTCTAGCTTAAAGAGCCATATTATTAATGTTTATTTTGTAATTAAAGTAGTTAAAATCAAACTATAGATAACCTAAAGAATATTAATTTTTAAATATCTCTCAAAAATGTGACTTGTAGGATAATCTGATTTGTACTTACTCAAATCATCTGATATGTCTTCAATTCCTGAAGCACTATCATCAGAATCACCAGTATTATCTGTACATGTTTGTTTCTTCTGAGATTGTTGTGAGTCTTCCAGAGCAGATTTTTCTCCCTCTGTAACATCAATATTCACTTTGTCCAGAGAAGTAAAGGAGCTTGGAATTTTTTTTCCAATCTGCTGCAATTCTGTCTGTCTCATGTTTTCTTTCAATAGTAAACTTGGTACCTTCTCAGCTTCTGGGGGTAAACTGGGCACCTTTTCTGATTTCATCTGAGAACTGGGTGCTTTTTCTGCTCTCCTCTGTGAATTAAGTGTCTTTTCTACTACTGTTGCCTGGAAGCTGGGTGTCTTTTCTGTCTTCACTGGTGAATTAGATGACTTTGGTGACTTCTCTGCTTTTGCCTGTAAACTGGGTGCCCTTTCTACTTTTGCCTGTGAAATAGGTACTTTTTCTGATTTCACTGGTGAATTAGGTGATTTTTTTGCTTTGCAATGACTTTGATCTCGAAGGACTAACCCCAAATCTTTAGGGCCTGGAACACTGGCAGCATTTACTTTACATGATTTAACTTCTGTTTTTTCTATACAAATATCATTTTGCTTATTTTTTTTACTACTATTCCTATTTGGAGAATTGGTCCCAATTTCTTTTATGGATTTATCATTTCTAGCTTTCAAAGTTTGATTAGTTATAACTTTAACTGCTTTGCTTTCTTCAGAAAGAGCCCAAGCATTCTTCTTTGGTTCATGATTTTCATTTTTAGAGGTCTTAGACTCTTCCATTATTTGAAAACCTGCTTCTTTCCAATTGTGATATTGTAAAATGGCAGATCTCCGGTAGTTTGAATTGCTTCAAATCCAGTTTAGGCAAGCAAACTATTGGGGGAAAAAAAAGTGTTATTTAAAATGTAAAAGCTATTTTTAAAAAATTGGTTAGACACAAAGATTTTAAAGTTTATTCTCAAAACTAAATAGAAAAAAAAAACTCTGAAAACTACATGAGAAGGAGTTAAAGCTCACCGAGTAAATAACAGCAAAACATCCATAAAGGAGGTTCTAATATAATCCTGGCAATATGACATCAAAAAAAGGAAATTTTAGAAGTAAAATGTTGCTTTACATTACTCAGTAAGAATTTCAACCCAAAGGGAAACAAAACATGCAACTGATGCACCACAATTAACATAAGAGAAAATGGAACAAAAAAAAGAATTCCAATTCATATGCAATCCAAACTACAGGGAATAAGTTTACAGAAGCCTAAGCAGTAAGCTCTTGTCTACATGACTTTTCTACTAAATACTACCTATCTATACAGCTAACCTACTTCTAACTTGACTCTCTAAACATGGAGAATCAACGTCAATAGACTTTCTCCGCCTCTGAAGCACAAAGGAGTTTAAATAAATTCTTCTGAGGTAAGAAAATTTTACAAACCAACAGGTACCCAGAGCTAAAAAGTGACAGTAATATACTATACAATGATACAATGGTCATGATACATGTTGTTATACACTTGTCAAAATCCACAGAATGGATATCCCTAAGAGTGAACGCTAAGGTAAACTATGGACTTTGGGTGATAATGATGTGTCAATGTAGGTTCACTGATTGTAACAAATGTACCACTCTAATGCAGGGATGTTGATTGTGGGGGAGGCCATTCCTGCGTGGAGGGAGATTATGGGCACTCTATAGTTTCTGCTCAATTTTGCTGTGAAACTAAAACTGCTCAAACAAAACAGTAACGTTTAGAAAAAAGATGATAGTAAGAAAGAACACAAAAATCAGTCAGAACCCATTTTGTTATAAAATATAATAGGAAATATTAACCTTTCACCACAGAGTACGAACTATAAACAAATGAAAACACTGCACTTTGTTAAATTATTTCTATATTGGAATGACCTTGTATACTACATATTATGGAAATCAAGATTTTTTTACTTTTCACTTTGCCCTGTATGCCTTAAATTCAGTCCTATACCTCTAAACAAAGATTAACAATATGAATAAATATTAGAGTCAGCAAAAGCAAACTGCACATAGCATCTTTGATTTTACTTGGTTAATGTATTAAATTATAAATTTGGGCAGCCAAACACCTCTAAGCATTTAACTATACATCATATCAACACAAAAATATTACCAAAATTCAAAACTTTAGAACATAATTCATTTACTACTGACTATGTTTATTCCAAAGTACATTTCAAAAAAAAAATAGAAATTAAACTTACCTAGTTATATCTCCACTGAAACATCCTACTCAACTTGGATCTAGCTTTTATAATTCCTATTTATACTACAGTCCTCCACATCCTCTGCCTTGATCTCTGTCCATCTGTCTAGATAATATTAACATAATCTTTTATGCAAAAAAACCTACTAGACAGATAAGCAACAAGAATATATTGTATGGCATAGGGAATTATAACCATTATCTTGCAGTAACTTTTAATGGAGCATAATCTCTAACAATACTGAATCATTATGCTATACATCTGAAACTAGTATAATATTGTAAATCAACTATATTTCAATAAAAAAACTTCCTAGGTGCTTCTTTCTAAATTATTTTACAAAATAATATTAAATAAATTATGGTAATTAAAATTTAAGCCAAAACCTAGACTTTCACCATTAACTTCTTTTTTTTTTATTTTATTTTTTATTGACGTGTAGTTGATTTATGAGATTAGTTTCAGGTGTACAGCAAAGCAATTCAGTAACACACATACATACGTATATACATATACATTTTCAGATTCTTTTCCATTATAGCTTATTACAAGAAACTGAATATAGGTCCCTGTGCTATACAGTAGGTCCTTGTTGTTTATTTTATATATAGTAGTGTGTATCTATTAACTTCTTTTTTGACTAACATAATTTTCCAGTTAAAAAGCTATAGCATTTTTATCTATAAAAGAACGTTTTCACTCCTAATTTTCAGATATTTAAATTTATTTAATTAATACTTTTTTTATTATTCTTGATAAAATTTTTTTAAATAACTGTCAAAAGAGTTGCCAAATACACCTAAATTCTTGTAGAAACTGCTGCAGGTTCCTAATTTTAAAAATAAAAATGAGTTTTATTCTGAAAGATTAGTTTACTCTTATTCAGCAAACAAAATATTTTAAATTTTCTAATGCTATTCTACAGTAATAACTCTTTAATAATTTTGTAGATGTCCTCTTACCGACAAAAGCCTAAACAATAAAGACTCAATATAGCAAAATTCATCCATGATTCTGTTTATAAAACTTTTTACACAAACTATTCTTCACTCAAAAAAAAAAACCCAACCCTCTATAAATCAAATCTGTATGTATAAATAAAAGCCACAGAGATTTTTTTTTAAATCAATGTATTTAATACAGATAAATGCTAGTGAGGAGTTAAAGATTTAGAAAACTTGCAGGTTTTACTTTAAGTGAGTAATTTGTTTCATATAACTAAAAGTACATTTGATCTTTTTTTATTGAAGCATAGTTGATTTATAATGTTGTTTTAGTTTGATATACAGCATACTGATTCAGTTTTTTATATATGTGTGTGTGTATATATATAAATATTATATATATTTATATATATTCTTTTTCATTACAGGTTATTACAAGATAGTGAATGTAATTCCCTGTGCTACATAGTATAACCTTATTATTTATTAAATTTTTAATAGGAACAATGTGCTATGAAAAAACAGGCCATAGTTATTTTCTAATCTTCCTCATCTTTTCCTGTATGAGTAGCAAATGTCTTACTGCTTCCAAAAAAGAAAGTGTGGTAATTTTACAGTAAAACTGCTATTTTTAATTCTTTCTTTTAAGCTATCAACAGTACAAAATTTTCTCCCAAACGTTTTAATTTGTAGAAATGAAATTTTCTCTGAAGAGATAAGGTTTTGAAAATAAGGTTCACTGCTTTCCAAGTGCACACTCGGCAAAATTGGTTCAATCAAATAAAAATGTCAGACCTACTTTCTAGTACCTGGTTACATTTTTAGAATGCAGCAAATGAGTATTAAGTGAGATTCTAACCTTAAATAACCATTTATTAACAAGAAAATACAGATAATTTTAATGCATTTATTTTAAAAGTGTTTGACTATAGAAAACAATAGCATTTAGAATGTATTCCATTTCATTTTTAAGTAAATCATTAAACATCAGTCCATTTCTTACTTCTAATCATGTAGTCTGCCTTCCATGAATCCTTACAATGTCTACCACAGTGCTAGGTACTTAACAAACATTCAACATCACCGGCAATTAAAGGAATAGCTACTCCAGACTGATGTCTTTACATCACTCTTTTCCTCCTGCAAACCGAAGTCTTTAGCAGAAATTGGAATTGTTTCACTCAGTTTTTGATGCCTTTCTGTAATTATTCATCATTCAACTGGCAAACCAGCCTACAAGTTCTGGGGCCTGAGACTTAAGAGTTGTTTCAATACACTAGCTGAGAAAGTTTACCTGAAACAACTGTTCCATAACTAACGAAGAAGCTAGTCACAGCGCGAGTTACTATTCAAGTAACCTTTCATGGAACAGACAAAGGAAATAACGGTAAGGCATAATTATCAGAATCTCCTACTTCTTTGAAAAAAAAATTACATAATGAGCCAATTTCAACTAAACTATAAAGTGAGTGGCTGAATCAGCTACCTTTAGCATCTACTCCAACTGAAATGTTATAATTCAATACAAATCCTAAAACAGTGATGCTAATGTTGTATTTGTTCTGATAATTTTACAAATTAGAGAAAATTAACAAGAATATCTCAGGCTCCATACAGACACAGCATTTGTACAGAGGTAAACTATACTCATTGTGATCATTTCTTAATATATACAAATATTGAATCATTATGTTGTCCACCTGAAACAAATATAATATTGTGTCAATATTACCTCAATTAAAAGAGAGAGGGGGGAAAAAAACAACTAGCAATGGTAGCCAATAGTCTCCTACAGGAATAAAGCTTGCTATAAGCAAAGGAATTCCATATAAACTAAGATGCCAGAGACTGAATTATTATACATGGTATGTGCTTAATAAATAAATTTTAAGTTAATATATTATTAAACATTTTTAAATGACTAAACGCTTAGTAATTATATAATCTGGCATTTGCAATTGATTATATTTAACACTGAAATACTAGTGGTAATAAACCATCCTTAAAATACTGATTACCTTTAAGGCAGTAGTTCTCAAATTTTAGCATTTACCAAAATCAGTTGGAAGGTCCCATTTCCAGAGTTTCTGATTCAACAGGTCTGGGATTGAGGCCCAAGAATTTGCATTTCTAACGAATTTCCAGGTGATTCCGATGTGGCAAGGCTAAGCACTACAAGTGAAGAATCAATGCTCTAAGGCATGGTTCTTAAAGCAGAAGTGAAGGGAAATCAAACTCTTCCGTACAATTTTACACACAATGAAGAATTTGATTCATGTTGGTCACCCCACTAGATTGTAAACCCCAAGAGGTAAGAAACTATTTCTGATTTTGCTTACCATTATATCTTCAGTGCCTACTACAGTGCCTAATACAAAGCATACAATAAATTTGTTAAAAGGATTAATAAAAATTAGCTTAAATTATTTTTAATTGTTCACACTTTAAAAATGAACTATAATAAATCCAAAAGATATGTAATTGCATGATACCTTATATAGTTTACAACATAACCAGAAAATGTCTTTCTTTCAGAAAGCCTTCCCTAATCCATTCCCTACACTCCCACCACCCAGGCTAGACTGGATAAGTATGCCTCTTTCTATGAAATGTGATTTTACCGTTGTTATGGCACTTGGCACTTAATATTTTTCATGTATTAACTTCCTATTTGGACTATAGGAATTTT